AAACTTGTCGCACAAGCATGCGTTTCCGATCTGCTGTGTTCGCATGCGTATAAATGGAAGACTTTGGGATGAAAAGTGCAGTGTGACAGCGGCTTTACTTAATTGGTTCAGGTGTGTTTGATTGGGGGTGTAGCTGACTTCTGCAGGAAGGTACTGTAGCTCTCCAGGGAGAGAGCTGGTGATCCCTCCTCTATATTATGTACCTTTTCTATGTACTATATAAGTACATACTTTTAAAGTGTAGAATAAGTTGGAAAATTGAGATGCAGCAATACTAAGGCACAGGTGTGGATAAACATAATCAGTAACCATAGTAACAAATGACAACTCAATAAACAAGGCAATCAAGGAATCAAGAGTAAAACTATGAACGGAAAAGATCTTTATGGAACTATTGACCCCAAAAAAAACTTTTTTTTAAGATCACATAGTGACACTTTAATTTCTAGTAGCATTGATGGCAAAGCTAACAGATTTTTTTAGTAGTCATTGCACTGATCAGATCTACAGCCATTTTAAGTGCTGCCTCAATCGCAAAATTCTTCCAAACGTTTGCGCCCTGAAAAGTCCCATAATGCACTCTGAAAATCAGGGCACATTAATATGCACTATATGTGCCCTTAAAGAAAGTTCAGAAGCACAAAAATATGAATCGCTTGACCCAAATTTTAAAATGTACTGACAAACAGAAAACATTTTTTATAAAATAATGAATGAATAAATAAATAATGTTATTTATTTGTAACATCAACAAACATAGCTAGATACAGTAGGTTAGGAGAAATCTAGCAACATTTATAATCATTTAATGGTTAAAATGTTGCTGACATATGAAACAGTCAAACTGTTTAGCTATAATAAATCTGATCAAATTAGTAAATAAAAATTATTAGCTCAGTGGCACGGGGGCTCAGTCGCCTCACAGCAAAAAGGTCACTGGTTCTAGTCCCAGCTGGGTCAGTTAGCATGTTCTCTTGGGTTTCCTCCAGGTGCTCCGATTTTTCCCACAGTCCAAAGACATGCGAGTATAGGTGAATTGAATAGACAAAATTGTCCGTAGTGTATGTGTGTAAATGAGGGTGTATGGGTGTTTCCCAGTACTGGGTTGCAGCTGGAAGGGCATACCCTTTATGAATAAAGGGACTAAGCCGAAGGAAAATGAATGAATTATTAGTTCTACTGTTGTTTATAAGTTCCAGCTCTGATGATGTACAATGAGAAGTTCTCATGCCACAGTCAATGTGTCCCAACATGTATTGAACCAAGCTCATCACTGTTCTAGTGCCCCAGTTCGTGTACACGATCAACTGATGAACGACTTCGGCTGCTAAGGTGCTGATTGAGATGCATGTCTAGGATTAATCTTAGCCTGATTGCGAGCAGGCTAGCTGCAAAGTATAAATCTCCATATTAGCTTAATTTAGCCTGCCTTCATGCTACTGAGTCAGGGCTAAATTCAGCTAAGATAGCTTTGAAAGTCCTTATTTTGCTTTTGTGAACTACCCATCAGTTGAGAACTCATCCCTATTGTCTTTCACACTGAACTTTTTATTTAAAAAATATCTTTAAAAAAGGCTTTTGTTGTTTTTTCTCGCAGTAAGTCACCACCTAGATACCTGCGGGCACAGATATACGATGCATGGTGTTTCAGTGTTTGTTGTTGTTTTTCTATAGCAGCTCTGGGAGAAGTGTAGTGGGTTGGAAAGAGGCAGAGAGACGGAGAGAGGAAGCTTGATAGAGACTGGAGTTATTGTGATGCAGGCCTGATTAAGGAGAGCGTCTAAAAGTAGAAAGCAGAGGACAGGCATGTTTTCAAAGGGAAGGTGCAGAACTAGCCAAATAAGATGGAGAAAGAGTTTGTTACCCCAGGGTATGTAGCATTACATATTAGCCATGGCTGAGTGCTGAGGTCTCTGCAGCTGCTGTTCTCTCTCTCCCATGAGTGCCTGCTGCCCACACACTGACCTGAACATGCACATTACATCAGTTCATATCAAATACATGCTGTGACTAATGATTGCACAACTCTTCTATCACTGCACGCCACTCTTTGCTTATTTTCGGTTATGAAAATTATTCAGTAATCTAGGCTGGATCCAAAATTTCAAGCTTTGATTGTTGCCTTTTTAAACTTCAAAGGCAGTGTTTTATTATGGGATGCATCCTAAGGGTCTCTTACAAAAGACAGACTTACAATGCAGTATAAGATCTTGAAAAACAATAAATGTTAGCTTAACAATTTATTCAAAAAGGGCACATAGTTTACCCCTTTTTTAAGGTTTAATATTCATATTATGGTTTTTCTGAGTGTGCCAGTTTAAGTTAAGTTCAAAACACAATTCAGATTTTTTCATTATAATGTGTTAAAGAGTGTCAGTTTGGGGGCGTGTACACAGCTCGCTGTTTTAGGGATGTGTTGCTTCACATGAAAATTAGTTTCGACTTCTGGCCCAACGTAACAAGGGGGCGGAGCTAAGAGCTCCCCCGCTCTGTGTTTGGCAACCAACAGGCAGACAGAGAGAAGCAACATGAGTGAGAGGACCAGCATTCAGCTGTACATGTACGACTCGGACACAGACCAAGCAGAAAAGCAGAGAGTACAAAATCATTTGTGTCTTTGTAGTTTTACAGCCAACTGTGTGCTAGTTTAAAGTTCTGAACTTGTACACTGAGACTAATAACCACGCACACTGAAATAACTTTGACTGAGTCACCTGATGCGCCGCTCAGAGCCACGACACAGCACACCTGACACGCACATTCGCATGTTATTTAAAATGAAACTATTGAGATGGCGCACTGTGGCGTGGCAGAAATATGAAGTGTTCTGAGGGGTGACTGGGTGCCACAGACAGCCACCGACTTGAAGCGCCGTTGTGTGTAACCTGATAGAAACCCATATTTAGAATTCTAAAATGCATGGCACTGCGTGACACCGAGTGTCTCTTCTGGTGTGCGACCTGCAGGCAAGTTTGTTATTTTATTTTCAATGAAGAGAGGCACACACGAGGCAACGCGCTTGCACTTTCCACCTGCACCCAGTTAAGATTACAGGGAGCTTCTGTGACCGCGAGAAATGCAAACGGCTGAAGTTTAAGGTAGACGCGATGAAAAGTACTCATTTGTTAACCCACCTAATGCTACAAACAATAATTCCGATGAGAGCGATCACGTGGTGAATGTTGATCTTGTGTTGAGCCCAATGAGCCTTACATCTAAAAATAGAGCAAAGGTGTTGCTTTGGTGACATCCCTTGGACTCACACGCTGAAAATGGCGGTCGTGAAACAACAAACTAAGGATATGGTAATGTACGCCTGTCAATTAATATTGGTGGGCAGAGGGACCACATTCCAAGTCAAGTTGCAGTTGATTTAAAAACCGCTCCAATTGGTGCACCATTTTTATGTTGTTAAATTGAAAAAAAAAAAAAAAAAAAGCACTGGGTGTGTTTTTATCATTGCAATATGACGTTCTATATACACTATACCTACACACGTCTGTCCAAACAGCTTGAAAAGTAGATTTTTCACCATAAGTGCCCTTTAAAGTCCCCCTGAAATCTACATTAAGGTTTAAAACAAAACATTATTTGGAGATCAGAGCAGATCACTACTTAAAATCCTCAATATATATTGCCTTTTCTTCCTGTTTCATTTGAAATTGTCACATATCAAAGAAAGATCTTTAATTATGATTCAGTGATGTGTAAATTCTGCAGTTTTTCTGTGTTGTGCTCCTTTTTGAATGAGTTTCCTAATTTCTCTGTAAGTGAATTTGTTCACTCCTGCTTTTCTATTCATTATTTATTTATTTTTTTATTTAGTTCCATTAGTTCCTTGTCTGGTATTGATGTAGTTTTGTCAATTTTAGTGTAGTTGTATTTTTTTTCTTGTTAGTTTATGTTAATTTATTTTTTACCTATGAATTTTAACTTTCTTTTTATTTTTTGGATTGGGAATTTTTCTTTGCTGTAATGGGTTGTGGCTGGATTAAAGAGGAAGATAGGTCAACAATGTAATTAAAGATGTAATTGCAGAAATTATTAACAGATGTAGTTACATGCATGTATTTATTCATTCATTTATTTTCGTGTCGGCTTAGTCCCTTTATTAATCTGGGGTTGCCACAGCGGAATGAACCGCCAACTTATCCAGGGAGAACATGCAAACTCCACACAGAAATGCCAACTGAGCCGAGGCTCAAACCAGCGACCCAGCGACCTTCTTGCTGTGAGGCTATGCTACCCACTGAGCCACTGCATCGCCTGCATGTATTTAATTAAGCATAAGTACAATGTTAAGGCATGTATTTACACAATAAGTACACAGTAACGGATAAGTACATCTTAGTTAAGGCCACTTAATATAAAGTGAGACCAAAAAAATGATGACACCCATTGTCTTCCATAGTAGGAAAAAAGGTAACACTTTATTTTGATGGTCCATTTGAGTATTAGTAGACTGTCTGCTTAATATCTGTTGAGACTGCTCCTTCAATAGACATTTAACTAACTATAGGAAACTTTGCATGTACATGTCAACTTACAGTAACCCTAACCTAGCAGTCTACTTATAATCTAATGAGAATTAATTGACATGAAAGATGTCATGTGACTTAAATTCAACAAACGGACCATCAAAATAAGGTAAGACCTGAAAAAAAATCTGTTGAAAGCAATAGGTGCCATACACCACCATTCTTCAAAATAACTTTTTTTTGGTATTAACAGAAGAAAGAAACTCAAATAGGTTTTGAATAAGTGAAATAAGTGAAAAATGAGAGATCATATTTGAACTATTCCTTTAACACTATTATTGTTTTCTGCACCTTCATCACATTTTATCTACTGCTGCTTCATGATACAGATTTATCAATGAAACATGACTGTGTGTTGCTCTGACTAAAGGAGACTCTTAAGGATATGATTACAAAAATCAAACATAGACACACATAACTTAGCTTCACATTTGATCTTTACCCATCTTGTCTCTTTTGCAGTCAGTGTGTTGTAAAGGTGTCATGCCAGCAGTCGGAGCGGTGCGCGCCGGAGCGTGGAGCTCTCTGGAGGAACAGGCGTTCATGCTTCTGACAGAGACGGAGAGACAGACCATGAGTTATTACATTCAGGAGTACCAGCGCGCACACATTGGAGTAGAGCCTCTGGCCATGGCCCTGTTTGAACTCTTCAACACACATGCAAAGGTGAAGCTGATAGCAAAAAAAAAAAAAAAAACACCTGACAACCCATAACACTATCGTGCATGCTAATGATGGTCAATATGGACTATATCATGACATTTATTGCGATAACAATATCAGTGATGAAAATGAGAAGGGTCTGTCTGCAGACAGACTGCAGATGCATATCAGACACTATTAGCTTTTAATGTCTACACTTTCCCCGCCCTAACCCTACCCCTCACTGTAATGTCATTATTTCTATTCAAATGGTACACTCTGCACTTCTGTACTTATGCACTTACACATTCAACAGCATAGTATATAAATTTAGCGTCATCCCAAATGGAACACTAAAGTTTTTTACTAACCAGAAATCCAAACCATTTAACTGGTGATTATTAAAGGTTACTAAATGAGTTAAATAAATGTCCAAACTACAAAATAGTAACTGTAATGAGAATAACTGCATTCACTATTGGGAGGTGGCACAATCACTTATGTCGGAGAATTTTGCTTTCACAATCCAAAATAATGTAACATCAGGCAGCTCTGCACCTTCCGCTTTGTGAGCAAAGGTATGGCCATTGAGTACTTGTGTAATCAGGGATGTGACACGGACAACGGAGGTCTGGATCCAAATGGTTTAATGGCGAGGTCAGTTAAGCAATAAAGGGGCAAACAGATGTATAGGGGCAATCCAAAGTCTTAGTCACAATAACAGGCAGATGGTCACCAGGCAGGCAGCAAACAGGATTAAACAAATAAACAAGGCAAGGATCAAAAACAGTACAAAACAAGACAAAGGAAACCGCATTGTAGTGTCACTAAAACAGTAGACAAAACTCTGCAACATTGTGTGTGTTTGTGCTGTTCGTATAATCCAAGTAATCAGTCTGTGAGGAGCTTCAGCTGTGAGGGTGTAATCAGTCAGGATCTGGAATTGGTTGTGTGTGTGTGTGTGCTGCATGACTGGGTGTTGTAGTCCATAACGTAGTGGATTTGTAGTTTATGTGAGTGTTTACCAGCGATCTCTGGATGTCAGATCGCTGGTGATCGTGGCATAATGAAGTGTCCAAAATTACACACTTATTTTTAATGGTTAAATAAGTGGATCATTTGGATATTTAAGGTGAACTTTTTAGAATAAAAAGAATATTTCAGCGTGAATGCACTACTTATACCAATTATGCTACAAAATGGTATAGAATGGTGCACAAGTATGCGGTTTGGGACGCTCCTTGTGACTGAGAGTGCGTGTGTGAGAGCGCATGTGCCCAAGGGGGAGCATGTGTGAGAGCGTATGTGTCTGAACGTGGATGTGTTAGTGCATGTGCCTGAGAGTGCTTGTGCTAGTCTACAGCCAGACATTAGCCTTTCACTCAGTGATACCGGTAAATATCCCGAAAATTTGCGGAACAACTTTACTGGTAAATTCATAAAAAAGGTGTTTACACAGGCAAGGATGTTCCGGGATTTTTCCGAAAAAGACCATTCACATATCCATTTCTAAATATCGGTAAATTCTGACATCATTAACCAGAAATGACCTCTAAACGACATCGCTTCTATTTGTAAACATAGTAGGGGTCGGCCTTTTCTTGATGGTTTTATTCAGGGCCGGAGTGGGACTCCTTTTCAGCCCTGGAGTTTCAAGCCTCAGACCGGCACACCTCAGTTCACGACTAACTATATTAAAATAAGGTCATTTCCAAATGAGTTTCTTATGGCATTATCATGTCTTTTTCAAGAAAACAGCTGCTTTAGAACTTTATGTATATATATATATATATATATATATATATATATATATATATATATATATATATATATATATATATAGTCTATTAAATTTCTGATTCGTCTTGGGTGTCTGCTGAATGTAATTTTGTTGCTTTTTAATAATAGATGGATGAACAGTGAGAATAATGACAGCTCATTGAACACAGATTTTTGTTAAGCTTAACAAAGTTACTCCTATAGCTCACACAAAGCACCATGGATGTTGTAAAATTAATTATGAAACTATATCTGATGAAGAATTAATTTCAACCACTTAGCTGATCTTGAAGTGAATATGGAGTGAAAGTATGTCAGTAAATATCTTTGTTTGTAAAAAGGCTTATACTGTACAAATGCTACAAATTTGCTACTACAGAACATTTATTCACTCCACAGACCCTTTTATTGTCACACTACACAGTCCTGAACAAACCATCTCTTGGATTATCGTTATTATCAAAGGACTAATTCTTATCAAAATTGTCCGTAGTGTATGAGTGTGTGTGTGTGTGTGTGTGTGTGTGTGTGTGTGTGTGTGTGTGTGTGTGTGGATGTTTCCCAGAGATGGGTTGCGGCTGGAAGGGCATCCGCTGCGTAAAATGTTGCTGGATAAGATGGCGGTTCATTCCGCTGTGGCAACCCCGGATTAATAAAGGGATTAAGCCAACAAGAAAATGAATGAATGATAATTCTTATCGTGGATAAAATCTTAGCTTCATTTAAAGGTTAGTATTAAATTCAAATAAGAAATGTATTACATGTATGATTTCGGGTGTTTGATTTAATGATCTGTTGGCTGTTGCTGTTCTCCAGCTGTCATTGCTGGCTGAGGTGCGAACTCTGGTCGCTCCGCAGGATCTGGAGCGCTTCGATGGGCAGGTGCTACTTCGGGAGATGGAGGCGTGGAGAGCTCGACACGGAGGACAAGGGCTCCTCCACCCGGACTCCATCTGCATCACTCAACCAGAGGGCCTTGTTCCTTCTCCTGCCTGCCAGATGAACACTGCAGGCTCCGGCTACAGCAAGGCACGTGAATCTGGAAGTAATGTGGATATTGGCGTGTGCTGAAAAGAAGTACAGATGTCCTGTTTAAATATAACATTGATACAGTATAGCAACTATTAGTATAAAGTATAAAGCAACTATTAACTTATTTAATTGTTAAAAACAGTGCCTGTTAATAACTATTGATTAATTATTCAATTCCTTAATGCTTGAGTAGTGACATAAAAAGTAAGTTGAATAAAATATCTAAAAAAGTCATTCATATATTCATGATGTTTGGTTGCAATTCTTTATCCTTATCCCCAAAAGGCTTTTTTGACAGAATGGGGATTGTTTATTTGTTTTTGTACTTGCTGACTTTATTCAAAAGGACTTCTACTGTGTCTGCGATGATTGGTCCGATCTGCCGTGTCTTTATAATTGCATGATTTGATTCCAGCCATTATTGTGAATGACAGAATCTCACCCACACAGGCTGGTAATTGAGCTGAATTGATGAGAAAAACTGAGAAATGAAGAGCTGCCTCTCAAGCAGAGCATGGACGTCTTGAGCTCAAACATCCCTTTTTGATTGTATTTTGTTCTGGAGTGATTGTTGCTGTACAGTTCAGCCATCTCACTGATTGTTTGCTATTTTGCATTTCTTTTATAGAGTGAGTGCAGATTAGATGGGAGTTTGATGCCACTCGAGACTCTGAATTCTCTTCCCGACGTTGCTCTGGTGAGTGCTTCATTTTTTTGATTCATACCTACATGCTGATAGACTGGATTAAATAAACATCCCGTGACTTAAAAAGCAGTCAGCGTTGAAATGGTTTCTGTATTTTATCATTTTAATGAAAAAGGAAATGATAAAGAGCTAGGAAAACAAAACTTTTATCCTTGAAACACAAAGCCTGTCACATCCAATGTAAACCTAAGGACATTTCACAATGTTTGTTTTGTTTTTGGATGCTTCAAACTCATACGCTTGTTTGTTTGTAATCTCAAAGGCCGATTGATCTGTAATCCCAAAACTTAAGAACCCAGAGAAATCCTACAAAAGCCCATGTTTACACTATACCTTTTAAAAGTCAGTTTGGTAAGATTTATAAATGCTTTTGAAAAATGCAGCAAAAGATAAAATAGTTAAATCAGTATTATTTAAAGTACTAACCTATTTTTCTATATTTGAAAATGTAAGATAATCTTCATGTCCGAATCCACTTGTGCTATTTTAGGGGTGAAAAAATACGCTATGCGCCCTGGCTCATGGTCTAACAGGGTTGTGCTTATTCTATTAATGAGTTATGGGTGCTTTTGAGCATAACATGCATTAAACCAGTCTCATCTCACGTTGCCTTTAAGAGTCAGTTGTGTATCGCGCCATGGTGCATTTGCTATTTACATGGCGGACTTTGTAAGTGGAAAAACAGAAAAACTGAACGCCTTACAGGCGTGAAATTAGTTAAACAGACCAAATGCAGCATGAGGATAAAGATTGAGCCTCCTCGATTCGGCATCTTTGCTTTCTCTTTCTCTTTACTTTTGCTTTTTACTTAAGCTATATTAAGTTTAAAGAGTTATATCCTAACACACATCCTATTCTTATGCCGCATATGGTAATGCACACGTCTCCAAAACCAGACAGATGGACAAATCTAAACTTGTTTTTATTAAAACAAATATAAATATGCATAATAAATAATGCAGCTAATAATATTAAAATTAAAAAATTGCTAATTGTCATGGATGAACTGACAAAAAAAGGCATAAAGAAGGCATAGAGGCAGTGGTTTAGAAATTTTTGTTAAAAAAATAATAATTTTTGCAATGTTTTAATCCTTTATTTATTATATTATGCATTTATGCATTTATTATTTGTGCATTTATGTACATTCTGTTTGTATTAAGCAATGTGTAAGCGTTTGCACATAACTAATGCACTCTGTGCTGGACTTTAGATCTTCTTTTAGATGGTGTTCTATTTAAAATTTTCAAAATAACAATGCGCCTTAACACACCTCTATTTTAGACCAGCAAGCCCATGAGTCCACAAAGTGGCGCATATAGATTTGCTATTTAAACAATGTGGTGCAAAATGTAAAAATTAAGGTTGCACTTGTCTAAAAATAGCAACAAATTGGTCCATGCACATTTTGCGCCTTATTGCTCCGGTTGTATGATAGGGCCCATTATTTAACAATTATTTTGTACATAACAAACATAGCAAAGAGACAACTGCATAAATAATAAATTACATGAAATTAACCTGAAAATAAATGAAATACATTTAGCAAATTATAATTTTGAGACCAGGCATGATCAGACTATCTGTACCAGATGTTAAATTGAACATTCTAGGTTGACACAATTATATTTACTGAATAACGAAGCACCACCTACATGTATTTACTGCCAAGCTGCTCCTACCATAAAACATATTATGTTGGAATGTGGGAGTTTCAATTCTATCAGAGTACCACCAGGAAGAGTTTTCAATTATTTATCAAAAATTAAACTGAAAAATCATATTTAACTTTGAATATATTTTTATGTGCATTTTGTCTTTTTATATTTTATATATTTGCCTAAGTAACTTTTTTTTTTTTTGTAATACGAATTTGTTTTTTTCATGTAATGTTTTATGTATTTTCATTTTTCCATGAAATAGCCATAGTTGCTTATGTTGCAATAAATAAGTAATAAATAAATGAATAAACCACAGGTAATTTTCAATTAAGCTGCTGAAACATCTCAAGAATGATCAGTGAAAGCAGAATGTACCTGAGCTCAATTTAGAGCTTCATCGCAAAGGCTGTGAATACTTATGTACATGTGATTTTTCCGCTTTTTTACTTTTAATAAATTTGCAACAATTGCAAAAAATCTTTTTTTATATTGTCATTATGAGGTATTGTGTGTAGAAATTTGAGGAAATAAAGTGTGGGGTTTGTTGGGGAGAAAACATGCAAACACACAGTACAACACTTCAGAGTCACACTGCTAGCGGTCGAAAATGTATGTAAATTTGGCAAGCTGAATGCATTCTGTACTGTACAGGACACACGCCACAGAGGAGATTGATGGTCTACAGCCAATCAGGATGCAAAACTCAATGTGCTGTGAAAAAATCATTAATTACATTAAGAAAAATCTGTGAAGGGACCACTCTATATATTCTTTTACATTGTTCAACAAAGCAGTCAGTAACGTTATATCAAATTCTGTTGTAAACTTCAGTGGCATATACCAGTCACCTCAGATCCCAGTTACTTGAGCAGTGATGTATATGTAATGTGCATTTACACCACTCTCATGTGACAGATTTCTTTTTCATCTACAGTTTGTTGAAATTTTGTCATGTTTAATAGGTTTTTATCCCACTCTTTCTTCTTCTAATTTAATTAGGCATCAGTAACCCAATATTAACTCTTGTAATCATAACATTATCTTGGATGACTACATAATAGAGCATCTCATCATAAATGTGTGCTTGTGCTAAATCGTTGTACATACTGATAAGCATCATCTGTTCATTTCATAGCGGGCTGACATTTTGCAAGGAAATGTCACCTCTAAAAGCTTTAAAATGTCAGGACGTGTTGATTTCGTTCTTCTTTCTCACTGTTATCATAACCTCTCTCAATGATAATGCATCCTTTAATTGCCTAAAAGTGACAGTGAGGAGATAAATATGGAGAGTATTTTTGTGTTTTTTATTATTATTTCAGGACAAGGTGCAGGTGTCATCCGAGTCGCCACCGTCATTCAAGCCTCCGCCTCCACCGATAAGACACGCCAGCCCTAAGACTCAAACCAAACGGCCTTCGTCCAAACTGTCCCAAACCAACCTGTTCTTTACCGCCCCCTTCAGGCGGCATCAGGAAAACCACACTCTCAATCACTCTCATTTGTCCTGTTCTTCTCACACGTCCCCGTGCACCATCCACCACACCACCTCCCCCTGTTCCATCAGCCACACTCCTCCACCCTGCTCCCACCATCATAGCTCTCCACGAACATCGTCATATCACTCCAGCCCTTCCTCTGGCCGAGATCTGGTTCAGTTCCTGATGAACAGGCAGGCAGGGACGCTCTCCCCACACCCTGAGTCTCCAAATCGCTCTCGAGACGGCACACCGATGATCTCTCCCCGCTCCTCTCCTTCCCTTTCGCCTTCACTTCTGATGCCCGCACCGCCCCCCTGCAGCCCAGAGAGGCTAGACGGCTCTCCCTCTACACACAGCTGCGGCCCACAGCATGCTGAGCCCGAGACAACAGAGGACAGACCACAACCCCAGCTGAGAGGTGAGGACACACTCAAATTAGATCTTAAGGAGATAGATCATGGGATTTATTTATGAGCTAACGCACAGGTCTAATATACTGATACCATTCCTGTGAACACTCCCGTTTTTCCCGGGAGTCTGTTGTATTTCACATCCATCTCCCACCACCCTCCCCTTTTGTTATTTCTCTATATGGCCTTATCTAGTTATGAGAAATCACTTCCTGTCCATCTTTGAGAAATTGCCAGATCTTGTGTGAAGCTCATCACCTCACACAATTGCTTACACAAATTCCAAAGCACTTTTTACCTCAATCTGGCAACATACAATACAACCAGATATAAATGTTAGTGATTAACAGTTTTGCTTCTCTTGATTTTTCCTTATAGGGTGTATTTGTTTTTACCGGTCACTCTCTCATGTACACATCATGAAGGCAGCATGTGTGTATGTGCAAACGGCAGATCTGCATGAACAGCTGCAGATGTTTAAATCTACATTTGTTGACAGATAGTTTGGGCTACTTACAATTAATCCAATTAATGTGCGAGATCCACATTAATTCTGAATGCAGATCTCTAATCCCTAAAAGCTCAATTGGGTGGTTATTTATGGCTTTGTGCGCTCCTTTATCTTTATTCCCAGGAGCCACGCTGTCGCAGCTGTCAGACAGTGGACAGACTCTAAGTGAGGACAGTGGAGTGGATATCGCTGAGGCTGGAGGGTTGAGTAAGGACAGCAGCCCGAGACCTGGAAAACCCCCCTTTCAGCAGTTCATGGGGGACACTCGCAGAGCTGAAGGGCTCGCACAGGCAACCGCTAAACAGGTGAGAGAGATGAAAATTCTGTCGGTTTAATCATTTTCAGTTCTTTTGTCATGTAAATAAATGCTATGCAGAAGTATATCTGTCTTAAAGGTAGCCTGTATGGTTTTAGCTTTATTTCTTCTCCTGCTGTTTCCTCCACAGAAATAAAAATATATAGTAATTTGTGATGTTATGTTTCTGTTGGAATAGCCAAAAATACATTGTATGAGTCAAAATTATTGATGTGTTTTTAATTTTCCTGTCAAAAAAAAATTAGAGAATATTAATTAAAGACTGTTTTATGAAGAAAAAATCATAAATGTAATATGAGTAGTCGTATAAATATAATATGCATTGATAAGCACTTGATAAGGATAAACAGGCCTACAGAATTATTTTTAGAGAGTATGAACATGAATGGCAGATATTGTTTTTAATCCAACAGCCGCAAACGACTTTTTTTTGCTTAGGAACTGTAATACAAAACACACAACATAGGTGCTACACTGTAAAATCATGGTTTATTGTCGCAAAGCTACATCTTCTATTTCGAAAAAATAAATCTATTGGTGAAATTGTAAGAATAGTGAGATGTAAACAGAATTGCAGGATATTGTCAGTGTCAGTTTGAGGAGCAAGGGATAGTTGAGGCAGGATTTGTCACAGCAGTCAGTCTTTATTCAATAGGAGTCAATACTAAACTAAGCAATGTGTCAAATGGAAACTGCAGGACAAGCAGCAGAATCGTTGCAACCTAACATACAGCAAGCACAATAAAATTTCAAACTAAACTGAAACACAGATAAATAAATTAAAAAGATAGTAAATAATCTACACTGCCTTTTTGAAACTTAATTGAAGTGGGGCAAAAGGAAGTCTATTAAATTGCATGTGGTCATGTCACATCTTTAAAATATGTGTTCTAGCATGTTCTGTGTATGTATTCAATTCAATTTTATTTGCATAGCTATTCTGTACAGGACACATAGTGTTCAGCTGGGGCCTTTAAAGTGTTTAATTTAAACTTCTTATTTTTATTATAAATGAACTATAGTACTATATCAGTTCTGTTAAAGGACTTCATAAACATTTTAATTGAATTCTAATAAAAAAATAAAGTCAACGCAGCAACCTTTCAACCTTGTTGTGGTTGGATATAAAATGTTCTGTGCATAGGATCAATTGTTTATGTCTCAAAATTTAGAATTGTGAGAGAAACATAACATTGTGAAGTCTAAACTTAATATTGTGATAAAAGAAGTCTATGAATATAAGAGTTGTCTTTGCTTCTCACAGTTTTACATTTGTCTAGCATTTCTCAATTTATATTTTAAGCAGAAATGATATAACTCAAGCAGGAAAAAGTCAGACTTGTTGCAGTTACCTTAAACAATATCCTGGAAACAGATTTATCCAGTTTAAAGAGCATTTTGCTTTAGCTTTCATTTTCCTTCATTCATGTAGACCTTTTTGTCTTCAAATACCTTGTAATATCTCCTTTTCTGTGTTTCTCCCTTGTTGTCATTGTTTTAGATGGGAATGATGGAGCCTATACTTGTACGGGTGCCCAAGTGTGCCAGTACACTGGGCATTGCTGTTGAAGGGGGTGCCAACACCAGACAGCCTCTGCCGCGCATTGCGACAATACAGGTGGGTCAGAGCACTGGATACACAAAATACAGCATAAAGTTAAGCTGTTCCACAAGGAAGATAGCGTAGTTAATAATTGCTTTTGGTTCATATCTAAGGCAGTACTTGTTGTGTTGAAAGCAATCTCAGAATGTAAAAAGGCACTTTCATTTAAACGTTTGCAGTCTGTCAATTCCTTTTAAATTGTCAAAGTTATTTATTTTATCCAGCAATGTTACATGGTCAAAGTGTGACGGCAGTGGAATGTTAGAAAACTATTTCAAGTAAATGCTGTTCTTTTGAACTTCCTGTTAATCAGAGAGTTATAAGCGATGTTTATTTATAAACTAATTTCTAGAGGATCACGTGCTTATGATTGACCACAGCTGGTCTTGCTTTAGCACGCAGAATTCACCAATCGGATGATTCCTAACTCACTACATATAAACAGAGTTACTTACCTTGGTTATCTTCATTTAGAAGAATCCCCCCTTCCACCCCTGCTCCTCCCTCCTTTTTCTTGACAGGGTGGCCCGGCGGCCCAGTGGTTAGCACTGTTGCCTCACAGCAAGAATGTCATTGGTTCAGATCCTAACTTGGCCAGTAGATGTTTCTGTGTGAAGTTTACATGTTCTCCCCATGCTCGCGTGGGTTTCCCCCAGGTTCTCCGGTTTCCTCCCACAGACATGCGACATAGATGAATTGACCAAACTAAATTGGCACCATTGATGAGTATTAATCACAAATTCCTAATTGCCATTATCCATAAATATGCAGGGAGTTCCCGAGACCTACCTGAGCTCAACTCCCCTCTCGCCAGAAATAGGAGGGAGCCCTGTGCTCGAGGATCTTAATCGCTCAGGGCTCTCTCCCGGAACATCATTTTGTGAACTCCAAATCAGCATATTAGAATGATTTTATATTAGAAAAGGTCTCATGACACTAAACTGGAGTATCAATTCAACTTTGCTGTCACAAAAATAATTTAAACTTCAATTAATATAAGCAATCGCAATTTTTTCAATTGTACTAATATTAAACTATGTCACTGTTTTTGTAGTTTTTATACAAATAAATGTACCTTACTGAGCTTTTTAGTGGTATTGTATCCTTATCAAAACAAGGCTCAATCTAATTACATTTTGACTATTACAAAACTGCTTGTGTACTTTTTATTCAATTTTCTAAGTCTAGTCTACTTGTGAAAATTTCCAGATCTGTTATTTGAGCGTAAGAAAGCCGTCCTATGTATTGTAGTGTTGGAATATCTTGCCAATTGCATGCGTGTTCAATAGAAAAGGTCAGGAGAGGCGTTTCTTCCATGTCAAAAATATTAGTAATTTATTAGATACAAATGAATAATTCGAGGACAGAGCTCGGGGTTACATTAGCCCAATGCAATGCAAGAGTTACATTCAGGAGGTTTGCAACTAACTTACATTTCCCTGACTCCAGCATGCGGTTGAAGTCACAATTATTAGCCCCCCTTTGAATTGTTGTTTCTGTTTGAAATATTTCCCAAATAATGTTTAACAGAGCAAGAAAATTTTAACAGTATGTCTGATATTTTTTCTTCTGGAGAAAGTCTTTTATTTTATTTCGTCTTGAATAACAGCAGTTTTTTATTTTTTTAAAACTCAAAATTTTTAGCCCCTTTAAGCTATATATATTTTTTAAAAGTATACAGAACAAACCATTGTTGTACAGTAACTTGTCTAATTACTCTAACCCGCCTAGTTAACCTAATTAACCTAGTTAAATGTCACTTTAAGCTGTGTAGAAGTGTCTTGAAAAATATCTAGTAAAATATTATGGCTGTCATCATGGCAAATAAAAAATAAATCAGTTATTAGAAATGAGTTATTAAAACTATTATTTTTAGAAATGTGTTTAAAAAAATCTTCTCTCTGTTAAACAGAAATTGGGGAAAAAATAAACAGGTGGGCTATTAAATCAGGGGGACTAATAATTCTGACTTCAACTGTATGTAGACAACTGATATTAACAGGTGAAGTTTGGTGTAACATTACTTATCAGTCATTCTGTAGTCCTTTGGGTCTTGTACCCAAACATACTTCCTCTTTCTGCAACCCATCTCTGCACACCAGAACTGAACAGTTTAGTGACCTTATATATTTATATATTTAATATATTTAACTAATATATAATATATCTAATATAATATAACTAATACAACTAATAATATATAACTAATAATATAACTTATATATTTAACTTCTACAAGCATCAGTCTCTTGTGACATGTCTAGACTTCTTATTAGAGAGAAATCAAATCTGGAGCAAGGCCCCCACACTATTTCCCTCTTGTCAGCAGTTCCTTCTAAGAAGTATGCAACACAGTAAGAAAGAAGAAGTATGCTTGGTTAATATATGGTATCATACAAAAGAAAAAGATTGTTTTATCTCTTGTTAGTCTAAACATGTTTTCTAATAAAAAAAAAATTTACTAAAGTGAAATAAAAAGTAAAGTAATAAAAAATAAAACTCCTTTTTCCCCACAGTAGCTAATGGCCTAGAAAGTAAGGCAGCATTCCTAGTTTTTGGAGAAGAGCTTTACAGCTTGCTGATTTCATTTTTTATAGTGTTCAAACTCAGGCTCGTAGAAAGTGTGCTCAGTAATAAATCTGAAATGTTAACATAAAAGTAACACAAAGTGTTAGAATTACTATTTCAAGAAAGTACCGTTTGTTCCACTAATGGAAAGGGTAGCTAATGTACTGTGAAGGTCTGATATTGCACCCATCAAAAGTGCAAGATACAGTTGTAACTTATATAATGTGGTTTCAGAAAAAGCTTTTAAAAGCTGTTCCCTCGTAGATACATGAATGCTCAGGTCAGTGAAACCTGCTTCTCCATCATAGGACTAAAATTACGGCTCTGCATGACAAAACAGTTCCAATTTTCTTATTAGCAATGACTCATGAGACGTTTAATGTTTTCCCCGTTAGATAGACCCCCATCTGTGCATCTAGCAGTAAGATGGCAGATTAGTCTTTAGTCTTAACTTTACAGGAAGTTTTAAACATAAAGGAGCTGCTTTGTTTTTCCCTCATTTCTTTTATGACCTTTCGTCCAGCATCTGCTAGCTAATGGAGCGCATTAGCATATTTATGTGCATGTGTCTGTGTGCTTGTTTCCATCAACGTTGTGCTCATTCGACAGGAAGGTGAGAGATTTCCCCTTTAGCGCAAAGTGGCTTTGCACCGAAGTGTTTGCTTACATATTCAAACCTGATGGGAATCAAGCAGATAACAATATGCATTTAGCTTTAAGGGGTGAAAACAGATGAGATTAGCATAACTTGCATCTAATAATGCGTATAGAGATGTCCGATAGTGCTGACCGAGGGGTGATAGACATCGTGTTGTTGATCTGTTTGGCTTCCTTGTATATCGGTGGAGGCAATATCCTTGAAATTTGCATAGAATGTCAGTTTGCACAGCCAACATTAATAAATATCACAACTGGAAAAGGTCAGGAGAACACAGCCCGTCACAGACCCATCTGGATGCGTTTCATAATTAAAGATGCAGTTTTTTTTTTCTCTAGTAAATGTCTAGAGATATCACACCTGTCTCTGTGACAGCCCAGGGCATGGTAAACAGTGCATGAGGAGTTTAAAGAGCAGCCTGTCTTTATTTTTAGCCAATCGCAAGTATACCGTTTAAGTGTGCTAATGTTGGATTGGAGGGAGGTATTTAAGATTTACAAAGTTTTAGAGATAAAAAAGGGGTGAGGGTTGGGGAAAGTTACTTTAGAAAGTAGTGCATTACAATGAGTTACTCTCCCGAAAAAGTAACTACAATGCATCCGGAAAGTATTCATAGTGCTTCATTTTTTCCACATTTTTTTTCATGTTACAGTCTTATTCCAAAATGGATTAAATTCAATTAGTGGTTCCAAACATCTACCACTTATGGATGATGGAGGCCAATGTGCTCATTGGAACTTTCAGAGCAGCAGAAATTTTACTGTAACCTTCCCCAGCCTTGTGCCTCAAAACAATCCTGTCTCAGAGGAGGTCTACAGGCAATTCCTTTGTACTTATGCTTGGTTTGTGCTTTGACATGCACTTTCAAGCCTAGGACCTTATATAGACTTTACCTATTCAAATCATGTCCAATTAACTGAATTTATCACAGGTAAAGTTCAATTAAGCTGCTGAAACATCTCAAGAATGATCAGTGGAAACAGAATGTATCTGAGCTCAATTTAGAGCTTCACGACATAGGCTGTGAAGACTTATGTGATTTTTTTTAGCTTTTTTATTTTTAATAAATTTGCAACAATTTTTGAAAAAATGTTGTTTTTTTCATTATGGGGTATTGTGTGCTGAATTTTGAGGAAGTAAATAAATTTAATCCATTTTGGAATAAGGCCGTAACAAAAACAATGTTACCTTTTATGAAAAATAATGCGGTATATTAGTTTTGAGTAACGTTTACGTTACTACCTGCCTGAGGTTTGATCTCTTTCAGAATTTGCAGGTGTTTTTTCACCTTTTTTATGGACCTATAACCACATATTAACCGACACCTTCATTTTTCTTTAATCAATGTAGAATAATATATTTTGAGAACTTTCTGAGCCCAAAGCTATACATGCTGTATATACAGAATAATGAAAGCATGTAAAGTGTTTGTTACTTTTGTATGTTATGTGATACTACTTAAGTGTCCATTAAGATAAACATTGCAATAAAGCCTAAAAGTACTAACATGAAATCATTTATTAAGGCAACAACAGATTCTAATCCTTTAAAATGTTTAATAACAAAATGAACAGTAAGACAATAAAAAAACATCCCCAAATCAAATAAATCTTTGAACTTTATACATTGAATAAAGTTCTTCCCGTAGCCTTAACAAGTGTGAAAATCGTTTCTCTACAAGGAGAAAAAAACTTACTTTATTGCAAAACAGTAGTCAATTCTACAGTAGACAGTGGCTGCATTTTCTCAACAATAAAAGCAATAACCATTTTTTTATTTAGTCGAATTAATTGTTTTACCAGGAGAACATGAACTGATGTCAATCGTTTTTTGTTTAGCTGGAGGTATTCGATGTTGTGTTGTTTTGCAGTTCTACTCTTGCAGAGTTTTACTTGCACATAGTCTACACTTTGAGTTATTCAGTTACTAGAACAGTACATTGACTTATCTGCTGTGAAAAAACCTAACCTGATGATGATGATGAGTACTGTTTTCTCGCAGCATGCTCGCTTATTGAGTGTGTAATTCAACCTGACTTGACCTGAAAGGTCATTTTTATTCCCCAATTTATTTATTTTTTAAAAGTTTGAGTTTAAGTTACCTTAACCTTTTAGTTTTTACAGTGAAGAAATATAGAAGCACAACAAACAAATGCAAAAGGAAGCACACATGCTTAGATGTGAAATGTCAAATGCCCTGTAAACAGCAATGGTTGTGCTGTTGAGCTCAAAAAATTATATTTTTCTATACTTTCATAGTAGTAAACAACTACTATAGAAGTCAGTGGTTATAGGTTTTCAGCTTTCTTCAAAATATCTTCTTTTGTCTTTAAGGCCGTACTCACACTATGTACAGTTGCCTTGAACCGGGCCAAAGCATGCTTGTCCCCCCTCCCGTCTTCCCCGATGGCCCACACTCACATTACATTCATGCCTGGACACGATTATATTTAAGTATTTAAATTTATTCAAACATTTCAGCGAACAGATCCGCCACTTTTGACGCTCATAAAAAACCATAAAGTCCTTGTGCAGCAGGAATTAGGAGGTTGCTGAAGGTAGTGATAGTTTGCGTTCATTGAACAGTAAGAATGATTAATAAATCCATATGAAACGGCCCCTTAAAAGTCACTTCTCGCTTTCAGTTTCGGGCTTTGGTGCATTTTGCACTCACACACAAGCGTACCGCGCCAAAGCCCAAGTGAACCACGCTCAGCCTGATTCAGCGCACTCACACTTTACAAACGATCCGGGAAATGGGTGTGGGCACGGTTCGTGTGCATAGTGTGAGTACGTCCTAAGAGATGAAAGAAACTCTTAAATGATTGGAACCTCTGATTGGGGGTGTAAGTAGTGAGTAAATGTTCATGTTTGGGGTGAACTATCCCTTTAAACTTTATTTATTGAATTGGTTTAACTTTTCTTTGAAGCTAATGAATATTATTAAATGATTTTGTTCTTTATTTTCCCTGAGACCTTACAGCAGGTTATTGCTAATGTTTTTCGATTTGTGAAATGTCATTTTCAGAGAGTGACTCCATTTGTTTTAGTGGATAATGTTTCCAGAACAAACTTGCTTTTCATAAATGGGGTTCCAAAGCATCATTCATATGTGAGGTTATAGTGGGGTCTTAAATGTTGTCTGACGCAGTTACAAACTGAATCCAACCTGAAAGAAATGCATGGCACAATGAGCTGATGTCACAGGTGTAACCATGGCCACCGCTCCTCCGGTCTCCTCAAGACACACTTTGGATTTAATCAAATGTTCATAATGAGAGCAATCACTATTCAATCTTCAATCAGACTTTCACAGCTCAGGTTTCTTGTTGAGAGTTAAATTGTAATAAATGTTGACAAATTACATCGGACTCCAGCAGGATCATGTGACAGTGGTGTTGAGGTTCTCCAGTTCTCATTAGCCTCTTTTCCACACTTCTTTTCTTATACTGGGTGATTCAGGACTAATAAACAAACCCAAAAGCTGCATTTCCATATGCAATGTTACTTTACACCCATATCAGCCCAGGTAGAACAATATCCCACATCCCCTAATTTCAGCAGTGTAGTAAGAGTAGAGTAAATGGAAACTAACTAAATAGCAAACTCAACATAACAAAATGTTTGGTCTAAAGACTCAAAAGTCAACATTTTACTAATAATTTACAAAAGAAGAACATAATTATTCATTTGTGTGCGCTGTGGAAAATACTGTCTATGTTTTACTTAAATAAAATTGAGGCAGCTAATTGCATCAGCATTGCAATTGCATTTTGAGTATTTCAAACCCATTTATTTTAGTTTGTCCTATTCGATTTTGCATGTTTTCAACTTGCAGTTTCAAGTAACATCAACTCAATTTTATCCGTTTTCATGCGTACGCAACAGGATAAAAGAAAAGTAAGGAACTCAGTGCCTCCTAATGTAGTTATCTTCAGTCACACATTGACACCTGTCCATCTGCAATAAGAATCACATTGTTATTTGTGGATCATTTGCATCGCGCTACTTGCATTGTATTTGTATCCCTTCACACAATGAACATTACATATATTTCTATATGACTTAAAAGTAGTCAAAACAAATGACAACACAGTGTTGCTTCTTTTTCTGTAACAACATCACAGCGGATAACAGTAAATCTAATTATTATTATTATTATAAAATTTAGAATAGCCCCCAGGTAAATCAACGCAATCTTACGGCAATTCGTTACTTTTTAATTTAGTGGCTAATTCGTATAAATTCGTACGATTCAATTCGTACAATTTAGTATGATTTGCTCATCACCCAATGACGGTTGGGGTTAGAGGAGGGGTTAGGTGCCACGCCTCCTTTTTAAAATCGTACATTTGCGTCCGACTAAACTCGTAAGAATTCGTACAAATTAGCCATTAGACTGACAAAATGTAAAATACTGATGTTTCCCTGTGAGATCAGGCTGGGTAAATTGAGTTTGAGACCCCTGATTTAGAGCTTCACGGCAAAGGCTGTGAAAACTTATGTACATGTGATTTTTCAGGTTTTTTATTTTTAATAAATTTGCAACTAATTAAAAATATCTTTTTTCACATTGTCATCATGGGCTATTGTGTGTAGAATTTTGAGGAAATAAATAAATTAAATCTATTTTGGAATAAGGCTGTAACACAAAAAAAAGTGAAAAAAGAGAAGCGCTTTGAATACTTTCCGGATGCACTGTATTCCTACTATAGTCATTGGTTAAAGGTTTTCAGGTTTTCTTCAAAAGCCCCTGGCCATTGACCTTAAGGAACACTTAATCAAGACGTCTCACACGTGGCTGTACACACTGACACACTCTCTCTTTGCCTGACAGTGAAAAGACATCAATTCTGGAGTGTAGAGAATTTTGTTGGCCTAAATGTAGCATGACTATTAGATTGCGATCAGACGGGCGTCCCTCCAGCTGAACAAAAGATGACAAGCAGAACGCTGGTCTTGGTTATCTCCTTCTACCTGTCCTCAGGCACTTTATCTTCATGCTGTGACAGGAGGTCAGCTAATGACCTCTCGATATGAAGTGGCGTATCAGAGAGAGCAAGCGGTCATTTTCTCCTCCATTTGCCACTTGTCTTTCCCCTTACACTTTTGATAAACGATCTCTCTGTTTGCCAAAGTTTGACCTTCTCTTCTTGTGTTTTCTTTCTTTCTCTTGGTCGTCTCCAGAAGGGGGGCTCTGTGCATCTGTGTGGACAGTTACGGGTGGGACAGGTGATTCTGGAGGTGAACGGTGTCTCGCTTAAAGGCATGGAGCACCGGGATGCCACTCGGCTCATTGCAGAGGCATTTAAGACCAAAGACAAGGACCATGTGGACTTTTTGATCATGGAGTTCAACTCTGCTCTGTAGATGTTATCCCTGGAGAGTTCTGATTGCAGAGACCTTGCACTTTACGTCACGTCCGCACAGAGGAGCCCATGAGTCACGCTTGTCATTTCTAATGAGTCACAATTAGCTTTGAGTCAAATCGCTGCAAAACGCCCACCTGAAGCCTGTGTTCACGCTATAACAGCAGCAAACAGACAGCACTCGCTCACTGCAAACACCTGCTGTGCTCCAGAGGAGGATCTGCAAAGCCAGGGCTGAGGGCCAGATGATTGATAGGACGAGATCAGGGTCATGTCAACTTTGGCAAATCTGTGTCACTTTGTTTACAGTCTGTTTAATGAACTATATATACAGTTGAAGTCAAAATGATTAGCCCTCATGAGTTTTTTTAATCTATTTCAAATATTTCCCACATGATAATTAACAAAGCAAGGACATTTTCACAGTATTTTCTAAGATATTTGTTTTGTTTTGGCTAGAATAAACACAGTTTTTATTTTTCAAAACCATTTTAAGATAAGTGTTATTGTATTCTAATATTTTTTGATTGACTACAGAAAAAAACCATCGTTATACAATGACTTGCCTAATTATCTTAAGTTCCCTAATTAACCTAGTTAAGCCTTTAAATGTCACTTTAAGCTGAATACTAATATCTCAAAAATATATCTAGTAAAATATTATGCACTGTCATTGTGGCAAAGATAAAATAAATCAGTTATTAAAATTTTTATGTTTAGAAATGTGTTGAATTTTTTTTTCCATTAAGCAAAAATTGAGGGGCAATATACAGGGGGCTAATAATTCAGGAGGGTTAATAATTCTGACTTTAACTCTATATATAAATTTTTTTTTTTTTTTTTTGTTAGATGCACTGATACTGCTGAGATTTACTTTGCTGAGATGATACTAATAGCTGATTATATATAATCAATGATTATTAAGTGCTGATTATTTAGCAATGGTTTGGTGGTTTTGACTTTAATAACTAATTTTAAATCACAAAAGTTAATTCCACAATTTAAAAAAAGGATTAAATGCTATTTTCTCCATTTCAGTTGGTTGTTCGACAGTAAATGATAAACAGGAAAACAAATTACTTATGATAAAAATTAACATTACATTTCTTAACATTGATATGAATTCAAATTAAATTCATATTCCTTCATATTAACTTGTTAATCATATATATTCTTATTGACATATATCATAAATATTTATTTTTGTGGTCTGTATATTTTATGTTTTTTGAAAGGTCTATTCTGCTCACAAAGACAAGATTTATTCTAAATTAATTTAATCAAATATACAGTAAAAAAGTTGCTGTTGTTAATTATTATTACAGTTTAAAGTGACAAAATGATTTAATGTTTTACTTAATTTTATAAATTATTATTATTATTAATATAAATTTTTTTGTGTGAAAATAAATTTTCAGGATGTTTTAAATAATAGAAGGTTAAAAAAAACTGTAAAAGTCTTTACTGTCAGTTTTGATTCATTCAATCTATTTGGGCTTATTAAAACTACTAAAAAGTTACTGACCCCAAACTTCAGACTGTAACATGTATACATCAATACGTCATCAAAATCATATATAAAACCTATTTAGTCTTGACCCATGTTTTTGTTACATTTATTTGTTTTGTGGTACACATTTACATATCCCTTTAATCCTATTATTTAACAAGTCATTGTTTTTGAGGTATTGTTACTCTTTACTCATTCAGAAAACCTTTAAAGATTTTATGGATGGAGCTGAAATCACTACTGAAGCAAGGTTACAATAATAAATTGCTTCTGTAATATCTGAATGGAGAACCAGAATGAGAGTGAGGAGTGACCAGAGTGAGGAGGAAAAGCATCATCTCATTCTTATTATCTTTTTATACTTTTCTTTCTGTCTCTTTGTCGCTCTCTCTCTCTTTCGCTCTCTCTCTCTTACAGACTGTCTTAATGTGTTTAGTTCGGTTCTATATGGGTACTAAATGCTTCAGAGGCGCCGGGTAATAGAAAGCTATAATAAAGTTGTGCATTGCAGTATTTTTAAAGTGATCAGATGTCTATTGTTTGAATTATATGTAAATGCACGTCTACTGATTATGCAACAAACGGAGAGAGTCATTGTACATAAGTAAAATAATGTAAAGCTGTATATATTTTATTTATGTAATATATATTTTTTTGCACATACTGTTGATACGATGTTTTCAACGACTACATCAGAAACCCTCAAATATGAAACCAAAACATCACCACTTAGAGTAGGAACATGTACGCGTACTAGTTTTTCAAGCCCAAAGGATGTTCTCTTTCCTTTAGATGTTTTATTTATACGCCACAAATAGATAGTCCGTCTTAAAAGCTGTAGTTCACCCAAAGATGAAAACTCTGCCATAATTTACTTATCCTGATTGAGTTTCGTTTTTTCCTGAAGAACTTAAATTTAAAAAATTTAAAATAATCAAACAGTGTACATCATTTAACTGTCATAGTTGGGAACACACATTATAGATGCCATAATTTGATTAGCAACATCCTCCTTTTATTTGGAAACTGGCTCATTTCAAAACTCCCCTACAGTTAAAGTTTTAGAGTTTTACCATTTTTGAATCCATTCAGCCGATCTTGGGGTCTGGCAGGAGCAGTCTAAGCGGCCGATCACACCCAACGTGCTTTTTAAAATGAAAGGCGCCTTTTTTGAATGATATAGAAAGGCCGCAAGTGTTTTTATGCTCCCGGCACGACTCGTGTTTTAAACGCCTGCTGGCCTCACATTTTTGCCCTTGCTTGCAGTGTGCTCGCAGTTGGAAAAAAAAAGTAAACTCAGAGAGGAAAAGACACGTTACATCAGTCGTGTCTTTTTATTTCTCCAATCAAATGAAAGCAGAGGCGGGGTTTCCGTTGAGGCGCCTGCAGTGTTTGTGTTGTCAAGACAACAATGGAGACTTTTGAAGGTAGAGGAGAGACTTGTGGTGGCTGTTTTAAGTTATCTGGTGCTGTTCTTAAATATTTACAATTATATTAATATCAACAGCAATACTCTCGCGCAATACCCAGTTGATTCGTTGCCTAGCGACAGGATGCGCACCGCACTTCTTTTTTTCTTATCAACAAAAAAGGCAGTGTGGTGCGCCTCATGTTTTTGGAACGTAAATGCGCATTCGATGTGCTTGTCCCCTTAGCCAAAGAGTTTAGAATGACCAAGAGGTGACACTCAATAGAAAGCTCCATTGCAACAGCCCAGCATCAGCCCTGCGATTCCGCCATTTTGGAGTGAAAGCAATTGGCTGTCCATTTGATCTTATTGCTGTTGCGATGGCAAGCAGCTGCTTTTTTTTATTATTATTTAAAAAGCGCATTAAGGCTGAGATATAACCTGAAAGGTGACAATACAACACTTACTATCACAATCATCAGCACTTTTAATAGTTTATTTTACAGACTTAAAATATGCTGTTGTTCTATTGGAATTTTCATTCCAAAATGACTGCCCCGCCATCTAGTGGCTGTTTCCCAAATCGCACTAGAGTGTTGCCTCTTGATGATTTTATGCTCACTGCCTTAGCTTAGCTTAGGCTAATATTAGGTTAATTTGACTTAAAAACACTGCAGCCGACAATCAACAAGATTAGCCAAGCACAGGAGGGGGCAGAGCTGAAATAAAGTTTGACAACTTAGTCAAACTATGACAACATAGTTTGCTGCATGATGACAGATCACATGGCGAGATCAATGATTTATTTATTTAAATATTAATCCAAAAAAATGTAACAAACATTCCCAAAATAAGTGAGCTACACTTTCAGTGGAAACTTCACAGAAAAAGCTGGAAATGTCAATGTTACTTTTAAATTTCTGTATAAATGGCTTGATGTCAAGCTAGACAAAATTTCTAACTGCCATGCAACACTTTAAGATTTAGATTGGTCTGTGCAGCGCTGCATGAAGTTGAATGCACCTTTTGAATCTGATTAGACCTTTAGCATCTTGCTCAAAAATTTTAAAAAGAATTTCCTATTGAAAGCTTAGTATATTGTGTACTAAAGTGGATGAATAATGAAAAGTTGCTATTTTCTAGGCTGATGTGGATAGGAACTAAACTCTCATTCCAGTGTAACAATTAAGAAACTTTGCTGCTGTAGCAGGAGCAATGATATTATGCATCGCCTAATAATGCTATTGGTCTAATCTGATTCAACTATCTATGCTAAGCTAAGCTAAAAGTGTTTCCACCAGACTCAGATCGGCTGAATAGATTATAAAATGGTCAAACTCAAGTATTAAACTTTAGGTGACCTGTAAAATTATTCTGTTTACAAAAAATAGTGGTGTTCCTTTAAAAAAATCTTTTGTGTTTATTAGAAGCACATACAGGAGATCAAGCTGGTTTGGAACAACTGGAGATTAGTAAATTGAGAGTACATTTATTTTTGGGTGAATTGTAACTAAGTTTACAGAGATCGTCTTTTGGTTATTTGTTGCTTGTCATTTGTTGTACTTTGCAGTGTGAAACACATAATACTGTAACTTTACAATTACTGTAGTATTGTAGGATAACAGAGCAACACCTTATAGAGACAGTGCACAGACCGAATGCCTGAAATATTTATCATTTATGCCAAACTGAAAAGAGACTTAAATAAATATTTAAAGAATGAATTACATGTCATATGTAATGATTTTGATTACAATCACATTGTCATTGTTTGATATTGTTCACTGATTGTGGTCTTTTGGTGCCCTCGTGTGTTCAAATCGGGGACTCAAGAATTTTCAGTGCTGCTCTGTAAAAATTTTATGATCAATTAGTTCTGACTATATATGTTTTAGCTCATTATAACTTATTAAAGTGAGTTAATCATGTTCTAACTTAATTTTAAAAGCTGTTTTAAGTCAGTTTAACATTAGTTTAACGGCCTCATAAGGTTAATTTGATTCAGCTTAAACATTTAAGGCTACCAGGATTTTTTTTTACAGTGTGTATGGATGTACAGTATGAATGAAGTACTACAGTAAAACATTTTAATATATTTTATAAATTTAATTTGTTTGTTCAAACTTTTGAATTGAGCAAAGAATTTAGATGCAAAAAAACATTCAATGCCATCTGAAATATTTTCCTAAAATGAGCATTTTTCTATACTTATGTTCAAGTATTTCACTTTAAAGGCAATGAACTTATTAATCTTATAAAAGTAAAATGTCTGAGCCTACACACACAAGTCAGAGAAAAATGCTAATTTTAGAAGAAAATATCACACAGCGTTTAGGGTTTTTTGCATCTAAAGTCTTCATTTATATGTCAAGTTTACTCTTCATCTAGACTTCGGAACCCACTGCATTTATTTAATTGATTAAATAATTGGTTGATTTTAAACTTTTTTTTTTTTTTTAAGAAATGC